CTGAGACCAGTTGATGGAGGTTTTGTAGGACCTGAGGAGACCAGTTGATGGAGGTTTTGTAGGACCTGAGGAGACCAGTTGTTGGAGGTGTTTGGGGAAATGTTCCATTCTGGTGTACTGGAGAATTCTAGCTGTCTTACAGTCCTGCTGGATTTTTTGTTTTTATGATGTGTCGAAGTGTTTCAGTTGGTTAGAGCCTGAACTGCAGGCAGGCCTGTTCAGCTCCTGGACTTCTCTACGTGAAGCCACGTCTCTGATGGATGCAGGATGAGGTTTAACTTGTCTTGCTGAAATTTGCAAGAACTTCCCTGAAAATGATGTCATGTGGATAGGAGCAGATGTTGTTCTGAAACCTGTTGATACTTTTCTGCATTGATGGAGTCTTTCCAGATGTGTAAGCTACCAATGCCAGATGCACTAATGCACCCCCATACCATCAGAGAAGCTGTCATTTGAACCTTGTACTGATAACTGGCCGGTCTGTTGGGTTTGAAAGACGTGGACACAGCAGCAGTTTGTGGAGATCTTCAGTTCAACAGACAAAGAGCCAAGACAGATTTTTATGTTCTATTTTTATTGTTGTTAATCTTCAGGGATTAATGAAAATGTTCATTCTTCAGTTTTAAATTTCTAGTTTGGACTGTTTTGTGTGGAAGCATTATCAATGGCGGCCATGAAAGGCAGGTTGTGTTTGTGTGCAGATGGATTTTAATCAAACCTAAAACTTTAATAAAACAAAATCTCAATAGAAGCTCAACCTTCTTCTGACTTTGACCGTTCAGAGAGAAGCTGTAGATTAAATTATATTCTGTCGCCCGCAGCCGCTCCTCTTCCCTCAGAACCAAACAACACTTTGAGTGTTTGTGTTTCCTGTTGATGCCCTGACCTGAGAGCAGAACAAAAAGACCAAAAGCAGCTGAAGAAGCGAGCAGCTGAAGAAGTGAGCAGCTGAAGATGTGAGCAGCTGAAGAAGTGAGCAGCTGAAGAAGTGAACAGCTGAAGATGTGA